GAGGCTGGGATTGTGGCTCAGTGGTAGAGTGCTTGCCTAGCAAGTGCAAGGCCGTGGATTCAATCCTCAGCACCACATAAAAATAAATAAATAAAATAAAGATATTGGGTCCAATGACAACTAAAAAAATAAATATTAAAAAAATTGATGATCTTATTATTGAGTTTGATCTTCATCACTTTTTAAATTGAACAAATAAATAACATGAACTCCACCTAAAGCTCCTTGGTCAGTAAAGTGCACCCACATCACAGTGCTATGGAAAGCACACTGTCGTGTGCAAAATAAGCAAAAAGAACATGGGGAAGAGATATCATGGTGACTACTGCCCATGTACTTCAAGGCATTCATGACATAGATGTTTCTAGTGGTTCAGATTTACATTTCATAAGTTAGAAAAACATGAAAACTCTAATTAGATTTTGTCAAATATTAAATAAAATATAATGAAATTATTTAATTAATTAAATGCCATTCCAACAGTTGAAGGTAATAAAACTTGTATTATCAAACAGAATTAAGTTGCTATAACAAAATGTACTGATGCTTTCAAGCTATAGCTAATTTGACATTTTACCTCTACATATATTTAATTATTGAAAATAAGTTGCAAAACACCTAAATTCCTACTTGATAAATTAGAGGTGAGAACTACCTTTTCTTCTTACAAAATTTGGTTCCTTGCACAATAGCAATGACTAGAATAAATGGTGCCAAATTTTTGGAGTCTTGTTTAATTCGGTATATAATTAAAATCTCATGTAGCTTTATTGGTTTTAGTATCCAGCAGAGAAAAAATATTGAAACTCCAAGAGATTTTGAATTAAATAGCTACAACAGTTTTGTTTTATTAGTTCTGACTGTGTGAAAAAAATCATAAGGACAACTTTGGAAAAATCTAGTTCTTTTAGAGCCCCAAATGACTTTTAAAACAATAAAACAAACTATAAAACCTACACAAGTGATATTAAATATTATGTAGTTCAATAAATGTGACATTCACAAATGTGGTTGTAATTTTTTTAAACAACAGCAAAGTGAACATGGATCTGATGATTGGATTTAGAAAAGGTAGTGTTATATAGCTTAAAAGAATTAAGTGCTTCAATTTGTTGGTGAGGATTATGTAGCTGAGTTGGAATGTTATACCAATGACTTTAAGATCTCCATCCATTTCCCAGGGCCTATGGCTACATCAAAGAAAGTAATGGTCTTCCTTTATTAGTGACTATTTACTAGTTCTATATTATTGATTATTTTCTTAGCATGTCTAATATTCATTTTTGAAAGTTTAGAGATTTAGACCTTTTTGGATGGTGGCTGCATCAAGCACAGAATAAACAAGTACTATAAATGCATACTCTTTTTTTTTTTTTTGGCGGTATAGGGATTGAACCCAGGGCCTCATGCATGCTAGGCAACCACTCTGCCACTGAGCTATATCCACAGCCCAACCCATACCAATTTTTGTAGGGGGGTGGAGTCCCAGAGATTGAATTCAGGGGTACTCGAACACTGAGCCACATCCCCAGCCCTATTTTGCATTTTATTTAGAGACAGGGTCTCACTGAGTTGCTTAGTACCTCACTTTTGCTGAGGCTGGCTTTGAACACGAGATCCTCCTGCCTCAGACTCCTTAGCCGCTGAGATTACAGGAGTGTGCCACGGTCCCTGGCCCAACACATACTATTTTTGAAGATGGAAAATGAAAGTTCAATAGTAATTTCTGTAAAGGCATTAAATGCATTAGAGGAATCATCCCAGTTACTTGCTAGATAGAAGGGACAGGGAAAAGGAGAAAAACATAGGAGGGGAAACCTTCTGTGAGAAAAACAATTAATTATCTGCTTAGTTCGCTGAGGTCTCACTCTTTGAAAACTCAAATATAACTTTAGAAGTCACATTTGAACATTAGATGATACTGTCCTTTCTTAGTCCTCAGAGCCTGTGCCTGTCCCTGGAATACCGAAGAAAATACCTAATTCTCCATCAGGCCACATGATAATGATGCTGGTGGAACTAACAAACATCAGAGTTACCCACAGAGATTGAAGATTCTCCAATCCAGTCCCCTCACTGATGTTTTCCAGGGGCAAGGCACTACCTGAAATTATATACAGACTTAACAAATAATTCAAAAATTTTTACCTTTACAGAATGAGGTGGTACATTCATTTTAAAAGACAAAATCATGCTTATTTTTTCCCAGTTTTTATATTGAAAACAGGGAAGCTGAAACTATACTACAACAAACATCCATATTCTCTCATAGAATGTGATGCTACATCGTATACAACCAGAGAAATGAAAAGTCATGCTGCAATTGTGTACACTGAATCAAAATGCATTCTGCTGTCATATATACCAATTAAAATAAATAATTAACTTAAAAATCCATATATTCTTCACCTCAAGCCACCAAATAATAACTTTCTATATTTGGTTTACCTCCCTCTTCATGTATATATCTATGCATACTTACACAGATGGTATACATAGGCGTATATACAATGTGTGCACATGTGTTGTATGTTAAAATATTTGAAAGTAAGTTGCAGATATTATGACCCATCACCACTAAAAACTTTAGTTTGCATCTTCCAAAAATAAGAACATTTTCTCATATAACTCACACATAGGATATTAATACTGTTGTCTAACATATAATTCATATTAAATTTCCCATGGGTTTTAAAAAAACCCAGAATCCAATGAATTGGGGTGATACTATGAGACCTTGTGGAAATCCTCATCTTTACCATTTTACCCATGAGTTGAGGTGTTCAATGATTTTTTTCTTAAATGAATTATTATATTTTCCAATTTTAGCAAATTTTCTACATTTGTTAGAAGGAATTCTTGCAGTTTTCCCATCCACCATCCCTTTTTCTCACTATAGGGGCTGGGACTGAAGCTCAGTAGTGGTAGCGCACTTGCCTGGCATGTGTGAGGCACTGGGGTCGATTCTCAGCACCGCATATAAATAAATAAAATAAAAGTCTATCAACAACTAAAAAATATACTTAAAAATGCATCGCTATGGATTCATGAATTGTTATAATTAAAGTGTAATAATCTATAATGTATTTTTGAAGCTTAAATCTTCCCAAGTTCAGCCAGTGGGAGTCCCTTCAAGGCAGCCTGTTTTCTTTCCATGGTTTCTGACAAAGGGTATCCATGAACACTTCTTGTATCTTCCTAGACCTAGAATTAGTTACTTCAAGGACTTACTCCATGAATGGATCACAGATGCCGATGGCTCAATTCTCCAAATATTCAAGAGGTATATTCTCCCTCCGATCTCATCCCTCTCTTCATGGACAGCCAAAGGTATTAATTTTCTGTTATTCTTCCATATATAGTTTATGTAATAAAGCAAATACACAGATATATTCTTACTGGTCCCCAGTATTTTGAAAATTATAACATATACATTTACTGGGTTTGTCTGTACTTGTAGCTCTTCATTGTCATTAGATTCTGAAAGATGCCTATGACCTATCCCAGAACGATTAGGAGGACCCTTTAGGTCAAATGTTTCAGATGAGAAAAGTCCAGGGTGGTAAATTTACCAAAGCTGCATGAGCTAACACTCACATGCTATTCTCTGGACTTGGATGTTGGTCCTCTGACTTTAGCTTGTTGTCATCTACTCATCTTTCAAACATAGCTTCTGTGGGGAAGCCTTTGCTTTCCTTAATGCTCTTCCCTCCTCCCTGCCCCCACAACTAGGTGATGTCCCTTGTTATAAGATTCCTGCACATATATATATTAGAGTTAAATGTTTCCTGTCTCCGTGAATTCAGGGATTAGATCTGTCTTGTTCACTGCTGGCACACAACAATTGCTCAAAATGTAAGAAGTGAAACTCGAATCCAGGATGTCCGGCTCCCAGTCAACTCTTCCTACTTCGGACCCACTGCAGTTGAAGAAATAATATTTCAAGGATGTAAATTAACCCCTACACAGAAAAAGACACACAGAAAAAGCTCGAGAAGTCTTTCTATATACACGACTAATAGAGAACCTTAGCAGAAACAGCTCGCCGCGAGGTGTGACCACCGCAGGAGGGCGTCAATCAAGAAAATTCCCCTTTGCCCCCGAGGCGAGTAGAGGCGCACTGGGCCGCGGCCACGAGGGCCACGCCACCGCTCCAATAGAAAACACGTGCAAAAAGCAGGAGCAAGGCTGGGCATAGCTGCCACCGCCAGGGCTCAGGGACAGAGGACATGGGTCAGCTTTCTTGGATTGCAAAGCCTCCTCCTGGAGCCTCAGGACCTCCACCTTCTCTTGAGTCCTGTCCAGAGCAGCTTCTGCCAGCATCCTAGGGAAGAGTCTTGAGTCCGGGGGTCCCCAAATGAAACTAGCTGCAACGGCCTAAAGCCCGGAACACCTGAAGTCTAGTCCTTTGCACCACCTAAGGACTGCCGCTCTTTTACTTTGGGGCAGCGCTAGGAACTGCTGGCACAATCTAGCTCTGAGCTCGGGAGGCGCCTGAGGCAAATAGCCAGTACCACCGTTATTCCAGGGAGCGCGCCGACCAAGGGAAGTTTCTCTCGGGCCCATGAAGGGACGGCCCTGTTACCATCCTCCGCGCCCCTCGCCTGGGCCCATTCCTGTCACCCTGAGGCAGGCCTGGACAGTGCTCCCGAGTTTCGTTAGAGATGCTTCCTGGCTGGGGCTACAGCTGCTTGGGTCCTGGCTCTTGACAGCTTCTTTCCTCGCACCTCTCCGACGCACTCACGCTGCCCGGCTTTCCTGGAGGGGGTCCCCGGCAAGGGTGTCGGAGATTCAGTGGCAATGGTGGTGGCGGGTCACCTGGGCACAGGGTCCCAGAAGCCAGGGAACCGGCGAGTCCCGGGGGCGGGGAGCTCGGCCGGCGGGGGCGGGCCAGGGATGGGGGCGGGAGGCGGCTCTTAGGTCCCCGCGCCATTGGCCGCAGGGCCTGGCGGCAGGAAGGGGCCAGTGAGCGGGCCCCACCCCGTGGCCCGCGGAGCCTATCGCCGGGAGTTCGGAGCGCGGATAAATGTAGCGCCGCGGTGCGGGCGGGCAGCTCTCCGAGGGGCCGGAGCGCAGCGGAGCTATGCAGTACCCTCACCCCGGGCCGCCGGCCGCGGCGGGCGCCGTGGGGGTGCCGCTGTACGCGCCCACGCCGCTGCTGCAGCCTGCTCACCCGACGCCGTTCTACATCGAGGACATTCTGGGCCGTGGGCCTGCCGCTCCCACGCCCACCCCCACGCTGCCGTCCCCCAACTCCTCCTTCACCAGCCTCGTGTCCTCCTACCGGACCCCAGTGTACGAGCCCACGCCGATCCATCCCGCCTTCTCGCACCACCCCGCCGCTGCGCTGGCCGCCGCCTACGGCCCTGGTGGCTTCGGAGGTCCTCTATACCCCTTCCCGCGGACAGTGAACGACTACACGCACGCCTTGCTTCGCCACGACCCCCTGGGTAAGGCGGCCAGGTCACAGTGAGGCCAAGTCGGGGCGACGGCTGGGAAGGCGCCACCCGGCAGGTGGCAGCGCCCGGGAGTCGGCGGGGGCGGAGGGGAGAGGCAATAGAAAGTTGTGGCAAAAGCTATTGAAAAGCGGCTCTCGGGCGCGCGCAGGGACAGGAGGCGCGGGCACCGGCATCGCGCAGCCGGGGCTGACCGCACAGTGACTCAGATTGGTTTTCCTGCACCTTGCAGGCGTCGGGGCACTCGGGCCTGGCTGAGACTTCGGGCGCTGCCGCCGGGGCTAGCGGAGGAGGATAGCCCTGGGCCGCGCATGTAGTCCGGGGTGGTGCCTCTTAAGGAAAGGGACGGGGAGGAGGGTGTTGAGGCGTCCTGGGCCGGCCTCTGCGGGACAGGGATAACTGCTGGGCCCCGGGTGGTTACGGGGCTGGACTTGGTTCAACAAGCTTGTGTAGTGAAAGAGCCTGACCCTTTCCGTTCATACAGGAAATCTTGAGTTCTCGATAGGAGTAAATCTGGTTTCAGAAGCTGTTAAGTGTTTTCCTGGCTGCACGAAGCAGACCCTTCCCCCGGAGTAGTGCACGCTGCTGATTATTTTATCGACATCCTCAATACAGACAAATTCAGGAAACACTCGACTTCTGATAGCCGGGATCCGTTTTTCTGATATTGTTCATTTCCTCTGTGTGGGATGTGACTTTATGGCAGCTAAAATAACCAGTTGCTTCCTATTTTTTTTTTTTTCGAGGCTGTTTTGCACCAGTCTGAAGCCTGACGCAAGCAAAATCTCGAAAAAACAATGCCAGCTTTCAAAGCGTTTAGGCGCAGGCCTGCAGACACACCGACGGACGGACTGACAGACAACTCTTTGGAGTAGGAAGATGCAGACCCCGGGCACCAGTTAGGAAGGGCAATGTGGACACTCTGGGCACATAGAATTTGTGGGACTTGTCCCCTCAGTGCAGGGGGTGGGGTGCCTGAGAAATAAGTGACTGGGTTCCGGTGGCCCTTGGCGCCTCTGGGGTCTAAAGCCCTAGGGTAAATAAGGAAACGGGCGCCTTGCCTAGGGCCACCAGGGTTTTAAATCAACTGTTATTGGCAGATTCAGTAGGAACCCCAGAGACAATTAACATTTTTAAAAAATATATTTTAGTTGTAAGTGGATCTTGTATTACATTTATTTATTCATATGAGGTGCTGAGGATCCAACCCAGGGCCTTACCCATGCCAGGCAAGTGCTCTACCACTCAGCCACAACTCCAGCCCCGACAATTAACATTTGAATGTCAGTGTTATTAAGCGCGATCTTTAGCTCAGTCCTCCACTTTTCCTTTTCACCGTCAGAATTTTGGTATATGTGTCTTACAGCTTTTTTTTTTTTTTAGGCTATTATATTTGTATTTTCAAAATTCCAGCCTCCAGGATTTGGTGCCAAGGGCCCCGGTGTAGCTCTGCTCTTCTGCTAGGCCCAGAGGGAGACAGACCCTCAGAAGGGCCGGTCTGGGGGCGAACGTTTTCACAAAGCGCGCCCTGGGTTTCCTTGGGTTACTGTTGGGACCGTGCAGGAGGAAGCAAAGGGTTTTTTGAGATAGACCAACAGGAAACACATTGACGGAAATGTTGCCATAGCCCACGGCGTGGCTCTAACTGGCCGCCCCCGCGGGTCGGGTGTGAAATCAGAGGAGGCCACGGCCCCCTGGGGCCAGGATTGGAGGATCCACGTGTGCGTCGAACTCGGCGCGGGCCTGGGCCTGAGCCTGAGCCGTTCTCGCGCAGCATTACCTTGGATGGTGTCCCAACCCCGCTCCTCCCCAAAACGCACTTATTCGGATAATTGGAAAGTGCGGTTCACTATGGGAGAGGACTTACGGGTATAAAAAAGTTGTGCATAAATTCAAGAGCGACAGGTGAAAGCGCGTCGTGGTGTTCTAAGCGCAGCCTGTACTGGGCATTCTTTTGGAGATTAAAACATTTGTGTTTGTATCTTAGACATAGGTGTTATGGTTGCTATGTGTCCTCTGTAGCTCTGTGTGTCTGTGTGTTGGGGAAGATTAGTGGGAGCGTGTTGGGCTCCCGTTACGCGCTTCTTGTTGCGTGGTCTCCTGGCTTCTCATTCCTCACCTTGTCACCCCTTGAGCCAGGCAGGTCCGGGGTTTGGTTAGGCCGCTCCAGAGCCTTCGCTAACTGCCGCTCTCCTTGCTCGCAGGCAAACCCTTGCTCTGGAGTCCCTTCTTACAGAGGCCTCTGCATAAAAGGAAAGGCGGCCAGGTGAGGTTCTCCAACGACCAGACCATCGAGCTGGAGAAGAAGTTCGAGACCCAGAAATACCTCTCCCCGCCCGAGCGGAAGCGTCTGGCCAAGATGCTGCAGCTCAGCGAGAGACAGGTAGGCTATTTGGGTCTCCTCCCGCCGCAGGCTGCTGGGGCTGGGGTCATCAAGGCTGAAGAGAGCAGTGGACGGGCTGAAGCCACTGTGCGCTCCGGCAAGGTCCGACTCGGTTCAACCCCGGGAGGTCGGGTCTGCACACATTGTCCCTGGCCTCCCTTGGTCCCTCGGGATTCTGGGCTCTTTGCAAGTTTGGTTTTTTTTTTTTTTGTGTGTGTGTGTGTGTGTGTGTGTTTGTTTGTTTGTGTCCCCCTCTTTATTTCTTTCTTCTCTTGTAGGTCAAAACCTGGTTTCAGAATCGACGAGCTAAATGGAGAAGACTAAAGCAGGTATCGACATGATTCCGTTTCTATGGAAATAAATATTTGTATCATGTTATCTCAATGCGAGGCCTGTTATGGGTTGTATGCAAAAGTCATTTGAGAGACTATTTAACCTCTTCACCTTGATTAAAAAGACAAATAGTCCTGCTGAAATTCAGGATGAGTTGCTCAGGTGGCAGTAATGCTAAAAGCACCTAATGCAGGTCCTATATCAATTATGCTTAGGTTTTCACACACTGGCTAGTAAAACTCCCAGCTAATTGTTTTATAAACCCCCATATGTTGTTTATCTAATTAACGCAGGAAAGATAAAGTAATTGACAGTAAATGACTTAAGCAGTTATCTTTGGGAGAAAATTGTTTCTTTTATTTACACAGCCATAATAAAACCAGGCAGAACTCAAGGGTAAATAGAAGGAAACAAACACTTTTAAGTCTTGTTTGCACTGTTTTTTAGAATAATTAAATATCAAAGAGTTTAAAATTATTTTTCTGCTAAGGCTAGCTCTTAAAATGAATATTAAACATACAAGAAAACATCCAAGTAAAGGCTAATTCAGTTTTTAAAGAAGCTCTATTGACTTAAAGCTAAAGGGTTTTTTTTTTAATGTCCTATTCCTGATGTTTCAAAGTTGTCTGACAATTGATGAGTTGTTTATTTGCCAATGTATATATGCTTTTAAATAATAAATACAATACATTGAAACAATGTGAGTGGGAAAATTTAATGTGTATTTTAAAATTTATTAATTATTTCTTTTTTATTAAAACAAGATGATATCCCAAAGGCTATTCTGAAACAGAAAATAAAATTCCTGTAATTTCATTATTCTAACATGATTTAAAAGATTCACAGATTTCCTCTCAGTTGCTGACCTTGTTATGTAATTGCAAATTTGATGAATATATTACTCAAAAAAACTTAGTATATGTTTTCAAAACACTTAGTATATCATGATGTCCCTGTGTAATATTTATATCCATTTTAGACAAACTCAGAATTAAAAATTCACTGATATATTTAGTTTTTATTCAAAGACTTGGCTATAGTGTACCTAGAGGCGTTCTTCCTTTTCATTTCTAGGGATTGAACCCAGAGGTGCTCAAGTGCTGAGCCACATCCCCATCCCTTTTTATTTTGAGATAGGGTCTCACTAAGTTGCTTAGGGCCTCACTAAACTGTTCAGGCTGGCTTTGAACTTGTGATCCTTATGCTGCTGGGATTACAGGTGCACACTGTCACACCTGGCTTGCCAGGGACTTCTAGTTTCTACATAATATGGGAAGATTTTTCAGAAATTCGACTCAGATTTTAAGCAAATTGTAGTTAATTGTTTCTCTTATTAGTTGGCAGCATTCTTCAAGTTCTGTATTTTTTCTTTGCCATCCATGATTTGTGTGTGTAGATGTTCATGAATTTGCTCCAGAAAATGGTTGAAAAGGAATTCAGTCTAATAGTTAATAATTTATTTTTTTCTTAATTCATCATTAATTACTTCAGTGTGTGTGTGTGTGTGTGTGTGTGTGTGTGTTATAGAACTCAGGGATTTACACATGATATACCCCTAGCTTTTAACATTCTTATTCTTAAAATGTCTAGAGAACTTCAAGTATTTAAATCTTTTTTTATTTTTGAGTTGGAGATGATACAATACCTGTATTTTATTTATTTTTATGCAGTGCTGAGGCTCAAACCTAGGGTTTCACATGTGTTACCAAGTACTCTACCACTGAGTGCTAGCCCAAGTTTGAAGTATTTAAAAAATGGGGGATCTGAGGTTTCCCCCTAAGCTTTTAAGACTCTTGAGAACATGGGTCAGGGCTGGTTTTAAGTGTTTCACTGCTATAATACCTTATATTTGTGACTGATAGTCTTATAAGAGTATATCTTTCTCTGAAGTGACAAGCTTCTCCTTCAAATGAGGAATCCCAAGTATGTATTTTCTTTTTTTTTAAAGAAAAGTTTTTTTTTTAAAGATGGACACAATATCTTTATTTAAAATATTTTATTTATTTTTATGTGGTGCTGAGGATCTAACCCAGTGCCTCACATGCACGAGGCAAGTGCTCTACCGCTGAACTATAACCCCAGCCCCCCAAGTATGTATTTTCTAAGTAAAAAGATTACAGCTGAAGTATTTTTAAAACATTTTTTTAAATATTTATTTATTTATTTATGTATCTTTAGTTTTAGGTGGATACATTAGTGTGTTTTTATGTGGTGCTGAGGATCAAACCCAGTGCCTCATGCATGCTAGGCGAGCACTCTACCACTGAGCCACCACCCCAGCCCCTATAGCTGAAGACATTTGATAAATAAAATATTGAAAGGATGGTGCTGGATGAAAAGTCATTTTGATTTATGCCTCTTCATATTTCAAGATCCTACCAATCTCCATTTTCATTCCCTTCATTTAGGAGAACCCTCAAAGCAATAAAAAGGATGAACTGGAAAGTTTGGACAATCCCTGTGAGCAGAGGCAAGACTTATCCAGTGAACAGAATAAAGGTGCTTCTTTGGATAGTTCTCATTGTTCACCCTCCCCTGCCTCCCAGGAAGACCTTGATTCAGAGATTTCTGAGGATTCTGATCAGGAAGTGGACATCGAGGGAGATAAAGGCTATTTTAACACTGGATGATGATCACTGGCATTAGCATGTTCAGAAAATTGGATGGGAAATAACATTTTGCTACAGAAAACACAGAAGAACTAGAAAGCTATGTGAAAAAGGGAAATCAATTTTCTGGTGTTCTGGAAACCTAAAATATTTGGTGCACTGACTAATTAACAAACCTACATTGAAACCTTAATTTTGACTTAACCAATGGCATATGTACTGATTTTAGGTTGTTTTGATAAAGTGACTAAATTCACCCCCATTTTTTAAAGAAGTAAATTGATATTTCTATTTATAAAAAATAATTTTGAACTTTTGTTAAATTTTTAAGTTATAACTTTAATAGTTTTTTTTTCTTGAAAACTTTTCATAATCTGTGTCTACATCCTACTTAATGAGAAAGCAAAGAAATACCCCAAATTCATAGGTACGCCTTGGAAAGGGGGCCCAACTTTCAGGCAGCCTTGGAATACTATAAAAAAGAGACATTCTTTACTTTTCTATGACATTCTTGCACTGCTGCCTTAAATCCAAAGCCATCTGTTGTCTTGGGATGTGTGTTCCTTTTGTTTCAAAAGCAAGAATTGATAAGACTAGACCTAAATGGTTGTTTTGCACCGTCATTTAGTATCCATTTGACCAAAGTGTTAAGGGGATACAGTACCGTCCTACAGGCAGAGAAACTGACTCGCTGGTGATTAATCACAGATAAACTAGAACTCGCAGGTTAAGTGTAAGTAGATTGTAGATATTGTGTTTTATATCAAACAATGTCTATAAAGTGTGTATATAGAATTGTCACTGTAAAAAAATGACCAAAATGTTGTTTTGTTTTTTAATGAATTACTTGTTTATAAAATAAACCCGTCCATGGGACGACTGACCTTGTCGGACGTCTCCTTCTTTGGTTTAAAAAAACAAAACAAAACCCACATCTTCCCTTAAAGCGCCCCGGGTGCAGAGCGGTGCTGGGCGCTGAGCTTGCTGGGGCTCCAGCTCCTAGCGCTCGGGGAGTGGGCCAGCGGGGGTCGCCTGGGACACGAGTTTGAGCCTTTCTTAAGATGTTTGCTGGGGACCCGGGGACATGTAAGTTTCGGGGGCAGGGGGCGGCTCCTATTCGCAGACCCGCGAGCTGCGGGTGGCGGGAGGAGCCCTGGACCGAGGTGGCTCGCGGCGGAGCGCGGGACCGCCTGCGCCCCATCGATTAGCTTCCGCTGCCGGGCTGGCCCCGGCCGCTGTCCTTGACCGGTGTGAGTCAACACTGCGTCATCCCTGAGCGGCCGAGGCTCTGGAGCCCGCTTGGCGTTGTGGCGAGGCCGGGGGTGGGGGTGGGGAGGAGCTGTCGGGGGATTGGGGACCCCCGGCGGGAGGAACAGCAGGTGGTCACACACTCCCGCCGCATCCCTACCGTTTGGTAGGTGTAGGGTGGGAGCGGGAATTGCATACCTACAAATGTCCAGGTGATGCCGAAGCTACTGACCCAGAGCGCACACTCTGAAAGCCACTTTTCTAGGGTGCTCCTACCATGAAGAAGCAGGTGAGGCCAGTACTTCTCCTCCACTCTTGCCTGCTTCCCTCAAAGCTACTCTAGACTGGGAGATGAGGGTCTGAGAGGGAGAGAACAGAGGGAAGTGGGTGGGAGTGAGGCTTGATAGCCGAGTAGAGGAGGGTTCAGGGTTCAGGATGGGTTATTGTGAGATGGGGGAGAATGATATTGCTGAGGTGAAGGTGGCTGTGGGTTGAGACTTCTGACAGTCCTGGTTGCTAGCCCTCATCCATCTACCTGCCTAGCTGAGCCGTTGGGTCTCTGACATTCCCGGAAAATCTTGAGAGACTTCTAGAGAGAGAGCTGGAAACCTCTACCTCTAGCCTTGGCCTCTATAGAGTACTCTAGTTTTTGTGGTGAGGGCCTGTAACAGAATGACCCTATCCCTGACCTGGCTGACAGGGCTGTGGCTCTCCAGACAGCGACACTCAGGTGAAGACTGAAAAAGTCACTGCTCTTAGTGGTTGTCACATCCTGTGTTCTTAGATTCCAGGTAGGACCCTGGAATTGCAGGTGAACTAGATTTCTGAGAAAATGAACCCTGGTCCTTAAGTGGAGAGGTGTGGATAGGCCTGGATGTTTGAAGAGTTGAGTTGCAGTTTTAGTCTTTGGCCTGAGTTCTCTCATCTGTAAAACAAAGATGGCCTACTTGATTTACGTGACCTCTTCTTGCTTCCCAATCCCCAATTCAGTTTATGCTCTTTATTATTCCCCCTACTCCTCATTTGTACTCAGTGTTGGAGCCGAAAGTAGCCAGCCCGTGGGAGAGTGTTCCTTCCCATGGGCTGCAGGCTCCAAGCTCCTGACTCTGCCTAACAGGTTACATCAAGGTTTCAAAGGTCACAATCAGTCTTGTCTGAAAAAGCAACTGTCTGTATCAGATTTTTGGAGAATAGGAGGCTTGTGGATCCGATATTGAGTTAAAGTAATGCTGTAATTTGTGTGTTTTGCTCCCAGAGATAACCTCTAGTTAATGTTTATTCTTAGGAGTAACTGTATCATAACTATTAAGTAGAGAAATACCAGCTTATGTATTGATTGACACTAGAAAACTTGAGAATTCTTGTTTTAAAGTAGACACTTCCCTGAAACCAAGTTTAAAGCTAACCCCAGCTCCCTTCAAATTGCTCATCTGAATCTAAACATGTCCTTCAGAATCAAGAGCATGTTAAGTGGAGGAGGTTCAGTACTCCCAAGGACACAGGTTGGCTCTAACTCTTCTATAGTGCCCCACTAGAGACTGCCAATGAATATTTACAAATTCTTCCTACAATCCAGGCATTTTTCATTTGTTTGTCTTTTGGCTATTTCATGTTGAAGCGGCATGTATGACCTTTACAGCACAACTCCTGTCTTGTTTTTAACTCTTTTTATCAGGAGATTCAACTTGAAAACGGTTATCATTTAGCAGAAAGTCAAATAGAAAAGCACATTTTTGTAAGCAAAACGTTAATGATTGGAAGAATTGCCCTAATTTCATCATGACAGTGTGTGATTAATCCCCTGGGTCATGTACTCATACTTTCAGTTATTCAGTTCGTTGGTCTTTGATATTCAGAAAACTTTCTAACTTAATAGGATATTGATTTTGTTGGATGATGTACTTTGACTCTTTAAACAACATCACTTTTAGGGATGACTAGCCTGTTGTATAGTATTTTATTTAGAGAACTATTGCATAAGGTTTCTTTTTCTTGCTCTTTATGGTTTTCTCGGGTGAAAGCTGATAAGACATCTTGTGGGAAAAGAGGAAACCATCTCTGATAGTGAAAGTACCTATTCTCTTTCAATATTTCTGACAAGCTTTTTGTTTGTGGGCTTATTACTGTGAATATTCTTCTTAGTGGGAACAGGACAGGGATTCAAGAAAACATGAATATTTGGACTTTGCGAGAAATGCATGTTGCTGGGGGCAGATCCAAACTTCCCAGTCTAGTTATACTTCCTTGTGGAAGAGAACATGAACTCAACAGCTCACCCTTTTAATTTCTCTTTAAAATCTACTAATTAATAATTCTTTAAATCTGTGATTGGAGGTCATATTCATGTGACTCTGGATAACATGGGACAGAATGTAGAAAAGTAAATAATCACCCAGATGCTTGAAAATGGTTAGGAGTTTGGTATCTTGTGGTCAAAATAATAACATATTCTACTAACATTTTTACCTTTCATCCCTTTGGGTTTTATGAAATTCCAGATGCATTCTGAAAGCATCTCATCTAATTTTGTCCTTTGATACTTTTTTGGTTCTGTTGTTAAGTTGCACTGAGAAGCACTTTGCAGAGTCCTCCTATTTACCCAAGTATCTGAGCTCCAAGATCTTAGAACACCAGCTACCCTTTCAATATGGTTGTAGGAAATTCCTCTCCACAGATATTTTCCTGGATAAGAGCTGGGATGGAAGAAAAACAGATGGGGTCCCCTGCAAGCCCCTTGCTGGTGTGGGTGGGGCAGGTGTGGAGCACCCTTGGCAAACAATTCTCAGCCTCCAACCCTCAGTTCCTGGAGTTGTGGGCAGCAGACCTGAGAGTAGGCATCAATACCTGGCACCCAGCAGGCGCCAAGTGTTAGCCCCAAAGCTAAAAAGCCGCAGTGATTCCCTTCTTTTGAGACAGCTCTTTGATTCACAGTTACAGGCGGGAAACCTCTTCAGAAGTCGGATGTACACAGATCTCTGCAGACAATGGAGAGCCAAGGAGACCTTGGAGCTGGCAAAGGCATTTCCTGTCTGTGGAGGATCTTGACTTTGGAGCATCCGGCAGGCGGTCGCCCATGAGGTTTTCGAGGCGAACGAACACTTTCCTGTGTAGCGGTTTAAAAAAGACCAAGATGATGAAAGAAAAAAAGAAAAGTCATTGCCAACTTCAGGCGATTTTCCATATGAAAGCCAGCGGAGCTGCTTCCCATTTAATTTTTGTCATTGTTGTTGAATGCATATTTTCTAACCATTAATTAGAATACTTTTTAATTTGAAAGGGAGGTTGATATTATTGAAAAATCTTAAATATTAAAAAATCTCCAGTTGGGCATGGTGGTGCCCACTGTAATGTCAACTACTCAGGAGGTTGAGACAAGATCTTGAATTGGAGGCCAGTCTCTGGAATTTAGCAGACCCATCCCCTGCCTCTCAAATCTCACTCTCTGAAAACACATCTCAGATGAACACAGAAAAGAGTTCATGGTAAAGGGTTTCCTCCCCATATTCATAAATACCTGCAAGAAGAGAGATGCCTATTGAGTTTGTCTCACCTTGTTTTTATTTTTTCTTTGATAGTTTAATTATGCCATTCCATCTTTTCTCTCTATTTTTCTTTTTATTCATTCCCTTTCCCCTATATTCCACCTCCCTCTTATGATTCCTTTTCCTCATTCAGCTTATTTCCCCATGAAGAAAATGGGGGCTGGAGTTGTGGCTCAATGGTAGAGCACTTGCCTAGCATGTATGAGGCCCTGGGTTTGGTTCTCAGTGCCACATTTAAATAAATGAATAAAATAAAGATCCATCAACATCTAAAAAAATTTTTTTAAAAAGAATAGAAAATGGGGGCTGGGGTTGTGGCTCAGTGGTAGAGCACTTGCCTCGAATGTGCGAAGCACTGGGTTCGATTCTCAGCACCACACATAAATAAATGATTAAAACAAAGGTCCATTGACAACTTAAAAAAAAAAAGAATAGAAAATGGAGCTAAGTGCTGTGATGCTCACCTGTAATCCTAGCAGCTGGGGAAGCTGAGGCAGGAGGATCGTGAGTTCCAAGCCAGCCTCAGCAAAAGAAAGGTACTAAGCAACTCATTGAGACCCCATCTCTAAATAAAATGCAGCCTTTTCCATTTTTTTTTTTTTAATTTTGAGACAGAGTCTCTCGATAAGTTGCTGAGGCTGACTTGGAATTTCGATCTTCCTGCCTCAGCCTCCTGAGCTGCTAGAATTACAGGTGTGCACCATTGTACCTGGTGAGAGTTGAGTTTTTTTTTTTTTTTAATTTTATTTAATCTTAACTCAAGTCTAGCATTAAATCCAGAAGGCATTGCAGTACAAAATAGGTCATAGCAGCTTTTGTGGATGTTGCCCTTTATTCTATTATATACTGGGAAACTAACCCATTTGGGGCACCATTTTCCTCTTGTTTTCTGCTGGAAATGAGCATAATAAAATACAATTTATAATTCTCAAAGCACTAAAAAATGTCTGCCTTTTGGTCCATTAATTTGATGTTTGCCCTGTATAAACTGTTCAGTATCCTATTATTTTGTCTGACCCATTGATACATGTTCCTCAAAGGACTCTAAACACAGTAGCATAGTGGCTTACTGTTATGTGACAGTATCTAGCATGGTGTTTGGCAGACAGTAAGCTTTTAAAAAATATTACACTAGAATGAAATTGAAAGCTGTTTGCCCCCCCCACCAAAGAGAGGAGAGACACTTTCCTCCCTCCCTGAGCCCTGCACCCTCATTGTATGTCCCATTCCTTGGCCACAAGGAAACAGGGCTTCCCTAAGTGGTTCCAGGAGCACAGCATAAATCACAGTAAGTAGTGGCTACAAATACCATAGTCTGTGCCAGGTTTGGGTCACTGTGGGAGAAGACAGGCGTAGGTCTGTTTAAGCCTAAACAAGCACTAAAAGATGTTCTCCCGCCCCCCTTTTTGTTTTACCGACATGCATTCAAGAGGAAGTGTTTTTGTGGTTTATATTGGCCATCTTTCCCTTTAGACTTGGCAATGTCTTTCAATGTCCAATTCGTACTTCTCAATTTCAGTCAAGAGTTTTATTTACCATATACCAATTGACTGAAAAATGACACCATTTGGAATAGCCTGTTAGTACTATTATTTTTATCAGTATCATTAATTTAACAAGTGGCAACAGGAAACCCAGATGTTTTAAATGATTTCTGAAAATATTTCATAAATTGCAGAGAACATAGTTTGTTTGCTCCACATAATGATTCAAAGTTTTAGCTTTCCTTAGCTGCTTATGGAATGTGCATTACATCAGACTTTCCATTAATTGTAAATTAGACTGGACTAATTCAATAAACGTTCAAAATATGACCCCTGAGTGCAGGTTCAGACATCTAGAGGAAGTGGTTTCTTAGACACCTGCCTCCCCTATGTTGACTTGATGGTACGTAGGTGGAAGGGAGTGAGATAGTTATGATGATGTATGGTGCTGTTGATTAGTTAATTGAAGGTAAAATTTTTAGCTTCACCAAGCAATTACCTGATCTCATTAAAGTCTTTAAAATCACCTAAATGCCATTTTGCTTGAAGCAGCTGCCTCTTGTTTAGATATTATTTCAGGCATTAAGAAATACACAATGCTAATGGTGACCAGAAAATTTAAGCATGCAATTACTGGTACATATTATTCAGTATTATCCATCCTGTCTGAACCTGGAGCACTAAAATATATTTACATTTGCACAGTGGTTTACTTAAAAATATTAAAGCACCACGTTTACAAAATATAGATTTTTTAACAAATAAAATTATTTTTAAAAGATGGGCATGTTGATTTTATTTATTAATTTTTTTTAGTTATAAGTGGACACAATACATTTATTTTATTTATTTATTTTTATGCAGTGTTGAGAATCGAAACTAGTGCCTCATACATGCTAGGCAAGCACTCTACCACTGAGCCCCTACCCCAGCCCCTGATTTTATTTTGAAAGAAACTTTTTATTAAAGTCAAACATACCAAGAAAATCACAAATGATAGGTGTGCAGCCATAAAACAAATACACCATGTAGTTGGGAATCTGTAATAAAATAGAACAGTACCAGACACCTAGAAGGCCCTTTCTGTCAGTATCCCTATCTACCACCTCAAGGACACCATTATCCTGATTCTAAATGGTGTGGATTAATTTTTGAACTTTAATACAATGACAGTATTTTCTCTTTTATCTCCCACTTTTTAATTTTTTGTTGGTAAAATTCATTTGTGCTGTTTGTTCATGTTTACTGCTGTATAGTAATCCACTGTATGAATTTTAAAAAAAATTTTAGCTGTCGATGGACTTTTATTTTATTTATTTATATGCGGCCCTGAGAATCAAACCCAGTGCCTCACACGTGCCTGGCAAGCACTCTACCATTTAGCTACAATAACAGCCCCCATTTTATGAATTTTCATGCTGTTTTTCTTCTCCTGTGGACAGTGTGGGGGCCAAATCCAGGACCTTGAGCATGCTAGGTAAGTGCTCTATTACAGAACCACACCCCGAGTTCTCTTATGCTACTTTGAATACTAGATCTAAGTGTGAGAACTGTATCATAGAATTTACAAATAATGCTGTTTACATTTTCTGACAATACACTTCTTTTTTCCCATATTTTTATTGGAGCATTATAATCATACATAATAGTGGGATTCATTATTACATATTTGTACATGCACATGGTATAACAATATTATTTGGCAAACATCATTTCCCAGTGCCTATGCTTATTTTCAAAAGGCATGATCCATGTCTTATTCTGAAAATCTTTAGTACAGATAAATGCAACGGAGCAAAAAGACCAGGCATACATCAAATTGTCAAGAAACAAATGACTAGCCAGGTGTGGTGATGCACACCTGTAACCCTAGAGGCTTGGGAGGCTGAGGCAGGAGGTTCTCGAGTTCATAGCCAGCCTCAGCATCTTAGTGAGGCCCTAAGCAACTTAGTGAGACCCTGTCTCTAAATAAAATGCAAAAAGATCCAGAGATGTAGCTCAGTGGTTAAGCTCCCCTGGATTAAATCTCTGGTACCAATAAATAAATAAATAAATAAATAAAATGTATATGTACACATACATATATATAAATACATATATAAACACACATATATGTGTGTGTGTGTGTATGTGTGTGTGTTTTAGGTGAGCACACTTGTGACTAGCTCCTTCTCCTCAATGCAAATGATTATGGACTATACTTTTTCCCCCTACATCTTGCTTTTTTCATTGAGCAATAGATCTTGAAGATCACTCCGTATCAATATAGATATAGTATTAATATAGAATGAGGTGTTACCCCCACCACTCTTGGCTGGTTGCATTTTATGTCATTTCATGTCTGAATTCTAACCCATTTGTTGTCCATTTTGATGCTACTACAAACAATGTTACAATAAATATCTTGTATGTTTCATGTCTGCTCTGGCATATTTATCACAAAATCTTAGAAGTGGAATTGAGGTATATGTATTTTTTATCCAGAGAGATATTGCCCATTCACTCTATATTTTATCATCATTGAGATTACACTGAACATGCAATTTTATTTCTTGTTTTAAAAATGCTAATATTTTATGTAAATATATTCTTTTCTAAATATGATTTTAGTAGTTGCATAATGTGTTCTCACGTACCGATACCATAATTCCTTTGTTGAGTTTTGTGTGTGTGTGTGTGTGTGTGTGTGTGTGTGTTTACAAGAGATCCATCCAGGGTTTTGCCCACACTGGGCAAGCACCCTACCATTGAGCTATACTCCCAGCCCCTGCACTGGTTTGTAGTTATAGTTTCTTAAAGAACATTAGCACAATTGCCACCATTTCAGTCCAATTTCTTCTAGAGTGCACTAATAGAAAATGGTTCATTAATCCAAAAGGGATGAATATTTGATAAATACTGTGAAATGATTTCTGGAGAAAGTTCTATCATTTCAGTAAGTGAGTTTCTGTGTTCTGTCTAGCCTCTGGCCCCACCAGCTGCCTCATTTTGGTTATTTGGGGAATACTCCTTTCCTAATTTTCTTAATTGTGGGGAAGAATTATATTTGTTTTGTATTCCATGTCTTTTATTATAAGGTTGAATTGTGTTGTATGCTAACTCTTGCTATTTCTTTTTCTCCTTTAGCATTTTGACTTTTGTGTCTTAGTCCTTTCCTTAGAGTTTCATTTGAACTCTTTTTGTTGGAGGAGATGAGCTTCTGCCTCCAAGTTATTGCAAAAGATTTCACATTTATTAAAAATTGTGCTTCTACTTTCAATCTAGAAAAACTGAAAATTTTTGTGTTGTCAAGTGTAATGATGTCCCCTCTATGATTGCTTCCATTTCTCTTAAGG